CTACATCTACCCTCTAACCCTACATCTACCCTCTAACCCTACATCTACCCTCTAAAGCCCTATTTGCACGAGATTAGTATTACCTCGGGACCAGTGGTGATTTGCAATAATTGTGGAGGATGTCTGTGATCTTTATCCTGGGCAAATGCGCCATGTCTGTAATTTGCAAAGTAAAAATTCCACCACAAATTACCTTCCATATTTTGCCAAACACCGACATCCTGTCAGAATACTAGTCCCATGCGAATCTGCATCTCAGTGATTGGGGGGTATTTTAGTTGTGTTTGATTGTGTGCCACCTCTTTCCCAGTTCAATCATGAAGGCTGCGGAGGAAATTATTGATTGATTATTATTGGTGCAACCCACCCCACCTCCATCGTAGTGGTGGTGGCATCTGGGTATTAATTTTCCCAAACTGGCATCAGCAGCCAAATGCTGCCTGTGTGTTCCGGCCACTTCCACTCCGTCGGAGCACTACCCACTGAGTAAAATACAGACTTCACTCGTCCCATGCGAATACACTGCAAGAAACACAGATGTGGGGGTGTAATTCACAAATCACCAGAGACCCCCGGGTCATGCTAATCCTGTGTGAATAGTACATAACTCTACATTTACACAGGGTTCTACCGGAGCTTTACATCAAGGTTTAGGGAGATAGTGTATATTAAACGAGTCAGAAGAACACTTGATCCTGACATTTCCAACAGAAGTCTCTGCAGTCAGAGTTTGTTCTCTCAGAAGTTTGAATTCCTCTAAAACGTATTAGATCAGTGATTCTGCTGTCTTTTGTCTCAGAGTCCATGTAGCTGGTCTGAATAAAGGCGGAATGGACACTTTCATGGACAACTTGCCTGGTTTCCCCGACAACATCCGTCCCAGCTCCAGCGGAGGTTACTGGGTGGCCATGTCTGCCGTGAGACCGAATCCCGGCTTCTCCATGCTGGACTTTCTGTCCCAGAGACCCTGGATCAAGAAACTCATATTCAAGGTGAGAAGGGACAGACAGAGAGACAGATTCAGTCAGTTTCTGAAGCAATACAGACACTAAACTAGAGGTTGGGACAGTAGAGACTCCCAGGTGTCCTGCTGGAGACGATATGGACAGAGAGAAGAAGTCTCGCTTTAGTCTGATAACCTGGTCAGAGCTCTGTCTGCAGACTTGGACCCATGAATGTCCTGGAGGTTAACAGGAGCATTGCAGAACATTTCCGTTCCATCCGTCATTCATTCTTTTAGTCCTTTCCTGTCTTCTTCTGCAGCTCTTCAGTCAGGAGGTTCTGATGAAGTTCGTTCCTCGGTACAGTTTGGTGGCAGAGCTCCATGATGGAGGCATCTGCACCCGGAGCTTCCACGACCCCAACGGCCTGGTGGCGGCGTACATCAGCGAGGTCCACGAGCACGATGGGAGTCTGTACCTGGGCTCCTTCCGCTCGCCGTACATCGCCAAACTCGACCTGCGCCAAGTGTAAACTACAAAAAAGACAGTGAATGAAGAAAGTTTGTGACTTTGCAGTTGAACGTCTGAGCAGCGTTTGTCTTCAGCAGCTTCGTCACCAGGAGGTGGAAGACCAACCCTCACAGATTGGTCAGGCGCTCGACTTGATGGACAAAAACAAGTTATTGGTGTCCAGGAGTTGAGTCCCGTGAGGATGAATGACTTTGGTTCATCTAGCGCCCCCTGCAGGCCTTTCTGGTATCAGACTCCAACCTCTCTGTTCTGTTTTGTTCCGTGAAGAGCAGCGGCTGCACATCGAACTGGAATGAGGCGCAAACTCTGAGAATCTGAAAGATTCAGCTACCGAAGGTTTCACATCAGATGTCTGCTCACATTTCTAATCTTCAGACGTTTTCCTTCCACCATCCAGTGTTAGATGGAGTTTATTTCAGCTTTGTGTTCCACTGCTTGTGTACAAAATTTAACATTTTATAGCTTTGTTTTGTGAAAAATGTTTCCATAAGGTTCAGAAAAGCGTCTTGTTGTGGTGTTTGGTGCTGAAAGTGAGCGGCTCGTCTAAAGGTTTCCATCAACACTCGCTAGTTAGCTCAGGCTAATCAACTCGTAAACTCGCTACCCTGTTCACTGTTGGCGGGTTAGCTTGTGGGCTCAGTGAGTAAAGCACATAATAGTCAGCTTGCTAGCTAGCTAGCCTCCATATTTTCTAAAAATGTTTTGTTGATTCACAGATGACTTCGCATTGTTTTCGTACGTTGTTGAGGTGTGTCCGTTTTTTTGAGATAGAAGACCAACAACTTCTCTCTTTTAATGCTATAGTAATTATTATATTATATATTTAATGATAATATTATTATTATTATTATTATTATTATCATGATGCTTTGATGCTTTTACAATGTGACATTTTACCCAATCAAGGATCCATCACTGGTTCAGAACACCACAATCAGCAGCTGTTCGTCCGTGACCGACGTCCCCAGCAACGGATGCAGCTCCATGTCAGCATAAACATCTTATTCAGGGGAAGGTGATTGGCTACTGAACACAGACACTGAATTTAAATAGTGAACCGTGAATGGCTATCTGTTGGGACGAGCCGGGGTTTAAAGTTAGCTCTCCCTTCGTTGGTGCACAAACACGTCTATGCCTCTGGCACATGATTGGCACACGATCCATCCAATCCACAGCATCCGTTCCCTGTAAAGGAAGACCTCCGCTAGCACCTCCCGCTCTCTGGATGTTAGCACTGCTCCTTTGTTTAGCTGCTATATGTTGCAGCTAGCTGCTATTAGTGTGTAAGGGGATGGTACCATTATCTGTGTGTGTGTGTGTGTGTCAATGCTAAGCTATCAGTGCTCTCACAAAATTGAATATTCCAACAAGAGCTAACGTTAACATGGTAGCTTGCCTGTTGAAGATCTGTGATTAAAAGTGTTTTAATTTAATTGTCTAACTACTGAAACTGTATAAAAACTTATTGTTGATAATTTTTACTTTTATTTCTTTAACTTCAGGTAGTTTGTTTAGTTGTTTAGGTTGAAGTCAGAAATATCAGTTTCCAGATGACCTGAAAGGTCCGTCCAGTCAGAGACGGGTTCTGGCAGCGTTAGCGTGTTAAGCTCTGCTGCTGCTGCTGCTGGTTCCGGGTTTGGATCAGCAGCTTGTTCTTTTCTAACTTTGAGCGGTTTCATCAGACGTCTGACTTCCGTCCTGAGCAGCAGTATGACAGTATTACTCTGCAGCTGTTTGCAGGCACCTGCACAGGTGTTCACAACAGCTGACATCTACTTCAAGTCACTGGGACGTTGCAACACGTGAATAATTTCTCCTGCACTTTGAGTAACTGCAGCTAAACACAGCAGCAGCGGCATCACGTATAGATAAATAAAGTCTGTCAAGTTTGTTGAACTGAAACTGTGCTGCACCTGTCTGCCCTCTGGTTGGACAGACTGGCTGTACCATGTGACACCAGGCTCCTCCCCGTTCTGTCCACGTGGTACAATTTTACAGTCTGACTACGACAAACAGCAGCCTGGGAGCAGCAGCGTGACGCGCTCGCTGACACGAGAAGTTTGAGGAACAAAGTCAGCAGCAGCTGGTTTCTGACCCGTCCTCCGCTCCTGGGAGACGTTCAGTGATCGTTGCACTAAAACCAGAAGAGGATCTGGATCAGAACCAGGCGTCCTGCTGCAGTGTGACAGAGCTGATGCTCCTGTAGGGCTCTGGTTGGAGGTCATGAACCTTGTCAGGGACCAAGCAGTGAGGAAATGAGGCAAACAGGAACTTAAGGGGAAAAATAAGGGTTTTATTTACCAGACAAATACTTCAAAACCTAAATCTATAAAAGAGGTCAACAAAATATAAGTACTCAAAATTACAAGAACAGAACAAGATGTTAACAGAACAAAACTGACCTCACAAAATGAGAACTGAAGGAACTTATATAGTGCTTTGGCAAAACCAAACAACAAAAGAGGGGAAAACAAAATGGACACCAACAAAAACTAATACAAAGGAAAATCTAAATAAATCCAAATCCCCTCTGACATGGCCGGAGATGGTATGGCCTGATGAGCTGGCCTCTCTACTTAAATGGTTCAGCCCCTTGGCCACACCTTTTGCCTGGTTCACCGGATACCTCCAACATGGTAACTCAAAAGAAAAAACTAAATTAATATAAACAGCAAAAGAATCCATATAACTTCACCTTGTAAAATGTGTGCACTCCATAGAACAAATGTGAAGCTAAAGGAAAATAAAGAAATTGAAAATCAAATAAACTGTGATGTGAATTGTTTGGGGTGTGGTTGATTGCAAATTAAAAACATGTGTGGTTAAATGAGGCGAGTGTGTGCACATTACCATTTTAAATGTCATGTGTGGCCTTGGCCATCACAAACCTCCTCAGAGTCTCTGTCATGGCGCCGATGCTGCTGAACCCCACAATGCTCTGCAACACGGGCACCAGAGTCCAGCTCAGATCCACAAAGGTCCAGATTGATTACTGATCAGACAACCAATCACACCAGGACTCGTCCAGCAGCTCGGTGACAGCACGACGCTGAAGATGGTTGATGAAGGTCTACGTGAAGTGAAGCAGCTCTGAAGGTGGTTCTGGTGAATTATTCATTTAACACGTCCCTCAGCAGAACCAAGACGCCGCCGACCCGTTTACAGTCACAGTTTACCTGGAGCAGAATGAAGGGTCACTCAGCCTGGTGTGAACCGGGTCAGACTGGGTCAGCCTGGTGTGAACCGGGTCTACAGTTTCTACATAAGCAGCAAAACCAACAGAACCACAGCGATGAGCGGATCTCAGCCTCTCAGACGAGTGTTCTGGTTTCTGTTACTGTAATCTGGTAGCTTTAGTTGAACCTAAAACCCGCTGAGCTCTGAGAGGAACCATCCACCAGCGATGTGAGTCTAACAGCAGCAGAAACATGCTCAGGACCGGATTTATGGTCTGAACCCTAAAACTGGACTCAGAACATGAACCCAGTCCACCAGGTTCTGCTGCATCGACCTTAATCTAACCTTTTTTCACACACGATGTGGACGGTGCCGACCTGGAGCTTCAGTTTATAACTTGTTTTAAATGTCAGTGAACTTGTGAAAGGGAGGGGGGGCGGAGCCTGAGCTGATTGGTCGGCATCAGCAGGAAGTGACATCACCTGTGGACAGGTGCAGGAAGAGCCACTGATGAGGTCACAGAGTCGCTGCACACAGGAAGCACAAAGATGAAGACGCTGCTGCTGCTGGTCGGGCTGCTCGCCGCCGCCGGTAACACAACCTGTCTGTGTGTGTCTGCGTGTGTCTGTGTGTCTGCGTGTGTCTGTGTGTGTGTGTGTGTGTGTGTGTGTGTCTGTGTGTGTCTGTGTGTGTCTGTGTGTGTGTGTGTGTGTGTCTGTGTGTGTCTGTGTGTGT